AGTTACCCGCTGAGACTTAGAAATTCGTGAGAGAGAGAGCGCTGGCTGGGTCTGGTAACAGTGCTGCGGCTGGTTGCGTACACCAACAAGTGACTGTCGCTGCCCGCTCGCCCCGCGCTCGCCCTTGGCTCAGTCTCACGCTCGCCGTCGCGGAGTGGAGACGAATCGAGTGCCCGTCGCTTCTCCTCCTACCTGATCGCCTCAGTAATTGTTTCTCCCTGATCCCTAAAGCAGACGACATAACATAAATTCCTCTCAGTTCACCCGAAGTGTGTCGAATCGGTCACACTCACTGCTTAGTGTCGCACTGCACGCACACACGTCTCTGTCCGAACGCCAGATTGTGTCAACTTCCCACACGTGTCTTGCAATTCTCGCCGAAGTTGACTGAGCGGAAGGAGATTTCTAAAATCACAGCACGAACTCGAGAAAACAGACATCCGGGCTCTCGCTCTTCCCTTCTCGGGCTGGTTCCAAGCTTCAGCACGAAGACGAATTTGGGTTCTCGCTTAATGGGAACGGTTTTCTGGTCGAACTCACACAGGTATTTGCAGTCGCATCCTCTCCCGCTAACCGTCTGCCGAGGTCCGATGACACTCCGCTCACGTTAGAGGAGATCGCGATCCCGAGAGGCTTGTGATAACTTTAGAAACCTGATCGTAACATAAATCATTCTCTGTCGGTTGTCCTCCTCATGTTCCATTGCCTTTCCAGCTGACTCTGAGTACTCGAGACTTTCGAAACCTCACTCGATTTCCATTCTAGTTGTGGAAAAGATAAACAAGCCCAGCATTTCCTTGAAGACCCCGAGTCGGTCTTCCGGGAAAGCCCTCAGTCTCTAAGACGTCCCTTTGGAGTAGTGACAGTGTCTGCATTGGCGTTCAAGGTGTCCTCAAGTCCCGAAAGTGTCCCTTGCTCCCCCGTCAGTGCCCCTGCGAACACCATGGCGGCGGCACTTGTAGCCCGAGGGCCCGTTCGCTCTCGCTCTACTGAGATCCTTTGCGTGGGTTCCTTCAGCATCGTGGTGGACAGCGTGGACGGCGACGTAACCGGTGGCCCTGCAGACGACGAGGTGTTCGGCGAGGACGGGGCGCTACCGGGGGGCGGAGGCGGGGGCGACGGCGACGCCTCCAACGCCTCCAGCCGGGGCTCCAGGACCTCCATCAGCAAGGAGGAGACAGACGCCAAGCTCGCGCTCTTCAGGGTGAGGATCTGTGCTGTTTCGTTCGAGTGTCTGTATGGCTAATGTTTCCTCCCCTGGAGTCAGTGCGGGGAATCACAGGTGTTCATTTTCCGTTCTCTCTCTCTCTCTCTCTCTCTCTCTCTCTCTCTCTCTCTCTCTCTCTCTCTTCTCTCTCTCTCTCTCTCTCTCTCTCTCTCTCTCTCTCTCTCTCTCTTTCTTTCTTATGATACCAGATTAGAAGGTAAGTTGAAATAAACATGTGGAAAAACTCTTCCCTTCAATCGACGGCAAACTCTGTTCTCACATTTCAAAAGAGGGAAAAGGAAAGCTATTCCAGGTAGCGATACCACCGATTACGCTTCCTGTCGAGCCAGTGGGTGGTTGAGCGTAACAAGAACGTGGCTAATGACCCATTCATTTTCCTCCTCCCGAGTCTTCCTCCCCATTCATCGCGTGTCATCCCCATTACCTCCTCTTCGTGTAGAATCCCTGGTGACAAGTTCCTCGTTTTCCCCATTTTGTTCGTCAGGAAAAGAGCGACACTCGCCGCGCCGTCAGGAGCGACCAGTGCGGCGATAATTGCATCTTGAAACGTCTTCAAAATCATCTCGAAACCCGCCTTCTTCCGTAAGATGGGGGGGGGGGGGTAGGGAGAGAATGGACGGGCATGGGAGAGGGGGCAAGGAGCGGGGGAAGGCAAATTACACCGGACGCTGAACCGGTTTTATTTTTACCGCCATCTTTTGTGAATCGAATAAATCTTCGCCATAGATTACACTCTCCCCCCTCCCCCTTTCCCCCCACTCTCCCTTCTTCCTCCCAACCATTCCCCTCTCATCGCTTTAACAACCTTCCTCGGGGCAATTGCAGGGGCGCAAAGGGTCAGAGAGGGGTAAGGAGGGGAGAGAGGGAGAGGGAGGGATAGAGAGGAAAGGAAGAGAGAGAGGAGGATAAGGAGGGAGAGCGGGAGGAAAGAAGAGAGAATTGGGGAGAAAAGAGGATAGAGAGAAGAGGAACGGGGAAGGAGAAAAGAGGGGAAAGGGGAAGAAAGAGGAGAGGAAAGGGGAAGAGAGAGAAAGGGAAAAGGAAGGAGAGAGAAGGGGAAAAGGGAGGAGAGAGGAGGGTGAAGGGAAGGACAGAGGAGAAAAGAAAGGAAGAAAGGAAAGGGGTAGCGAACGAAGAGAACAAGAGGGTATAGGTTATGAAAGGGATGTCACGGTATTTACCCAAGAAAGGTAATGACCTTTCGAAGCCCTGTTCACGACCGAGCTGTTCAGGCGCAGTGCTCCCCCCCCCCCCCGCCCCCCATCCCTCTCGCAGCTCCCCCCCCCCCCCACTTTGGTCTTTCGCGAGAGGCAACGGAAAGGGGGGGAGGGGGATCTTCGGAGACGGGACGAGTGTTGAGATAACTGCCCTTTGATCTGCTCATGAGATGGGTGAAGCATCGCTGACAAAGCCCCTCCTTCCCTTATTGGACAGGATAACGACTGAACTGCTCTTTTCCCTTTGTCGTCTTTTCGTTTCAGTTCTATAGGTCTCGTCAGCGGAACCATTATTTATTGCTATTTTTTTTACTCTTCCATTTTTTTCTCTCCAAATATTTAATCATTTATCCGACTGTTTTGTTTACTGTCGTTTATCATTTTTATTGTATGTCTTTTGTTAACGATTTTCAGTGTTTGTTGTTTACTATCATGTATATGTTTACACGCATGTATGTATGTATATATATATATATATAATTATATATATTATATATATATAATATATATGTGTGTGTGTGTGTGTGTGTGTGTGTGTGTGTGTGGTGTGTGTGTGTGTGGTGTGTGTGTGTGTGTGTGTCTGCCTGCCTGCCTGCCTGCCTGCCTGCTGCCTGCGCCCGCCTTCCTGCCTGTTTTACTGTCTGTCTGACTATCTGTCTATCTATATGTAGATTATCCGTCTATCTATATAACTACATAAAAGCATGCGTACACACATACATACAAAATACATACAGCTATACATACGAACACAGAACAAAGGGCCAACACAAACACCGTTCAAGGCAAGCGCAGAGGCGGTGACAGGTGTTGAGAGGAGGTCGTGCAGGCAGTACCAGAGACCAGTGACTGAAACTGTTCATTCCTCTAAAGTTACTCTGGTTTCAGTGACCCCCCATGTTGCATGCTGGGCTCGATTGCGAATGACTGCCATTTGGGATATAAAAGGTTTGGTAAAAATGTGTTTGCGCGCGCGCGCGCGTGTGTGTGTGTGTGTGTGTGTGTGTGTGTGTGTGTGTGTGTGTGTGTGTGTGTGTGTGTGTGTGTGTGTGTGTGTGTTTGCTTGGGTATGTGTGTGTGTTTGTGTTTGAGCGTGTATATGTGTGTATATGTGTATATTGCTGTCAACTGGTGATAGCATTATTGATGATATATACAGCAAAAATCGAGAAAAGGAAAATCAGCACACAGCAGGAAATATTAATAGTATTACCTAGAATCACATTTATGATAATGTCATGACTCAAGATAATCACCCAAGTATAAAATAAAGACAAGAAACGAAATGAATGAGAATTATGAGCAAGTCACAATACTCATCCATAAAAATAAACGTAATGATTCATCCCTAAAAGCTTCTGTCCCCCCCCCCCCCCCCTCCCCCGTGCCTCTCCTTCAGGGAAATTCCATTGATGGAGTTCCTCTATAAATGTGATGGAGCATTGCAACGCAGCCCGGCCACGAAGAGGTCCATATTTCCAACTGGAGTATGGCGTGGAAATAGTGTTAGATCTATTGCTGTCGTTGTTTGCAATGGTAGGATTGCTATTCTTACATTTGTTATTATCAAAATTTATGTTATTATCCTTACTTAAGCTATTATCATTATCTATGTTATCATCTTTATTTATGTTATCACCTTTATTTAAGTTGTTATTATGATTACCTTTATCATAATCGTTATTTCTACTATTTCTATAATAATTTCAGACCGTTATCACTATTATTCAAGTTATTATTATCACTATTTCATTTTTTGTCATCATTAAATCCGTTGTTTATCAATATTATTGTTCTTGTTGATTATGATGGCACTATTATTACTATCAATGTTCGCGTGTGATGGACCTTAATATTTCTTATATAAAAATACACATCTGACCTTTGCCACGAGTCCCTCCGACAGGCTGTTCCTCGACCAAAAGTCAAATGGAAAAGCAGTGAAAGGCAGAGAAGAAAAACACCAATTAGCGAACAATGAGCTGCGAAGTTCAGTGCTATTTTGAGAGACCGGTTTGTGAGAATTGTGCGAGCCCGACCCAAAGAATAGTCGTATACTTGACGTGCATAGATAAAGAAATAAATGCATATTTATCTGTCTAGACATGCATATCAACACGGCTAATAGAAGGTTAAATGTATATCTATCAGATAGACAGACAGATAGGCCTTTATTTCTGCGTCTGTATTTATGGAAATTTATTGGGTCAGGCCTGGCACAATTTTAATAAACCGGCTGTAAGAGTTCATATGGTTTACCGCGACCGCCATCCACGGCAAAGGTTCATGGCTGCGACACTCAGGGGGGGAGGGGGTAGTCAGAGGGCGGGGAATGTACGGGGCCGTTTCTACACATTCATTCACGTATTTGTGAATAAACATACATACGCATATATCCTCAGATACGTACGATATATACCCTAGTATGTATGACTATGTATATGTGTATGTATAGATATACAAATAAACATATGTATATATATATATATATATATATATATATATATATATATATTATATATATATATATATATATATATATATATATAGTAATG